TCATTTGTTCATTAACTCTTTATGTTGAAGTCTACTATGTACTATGTGCCAGGCACCGTATTAGAGACACAAATTTCAATGGTGAGACACAGTCTCTGTTCAACTACATTTACAAAAATCCTTATAAGAGAGAATGCCTTATTCAGAGTGACAATGAAACATCAAGTCCAGCTGGCTAGATTTTGCATGTCAGAAAGCCTCCAGCCCCCCATCCCCTTAACCTCAATCCAAATGCTGCTTGAACCAAAGGTGGACAGATGACCAAAGAGAAGACAATCAATCAATAGGCTATAAGAAAACTAGAATGTGACCTGGCATATAAAAAGAGCTAAACCAATCAGATTCTCTTACTAAAGAGGTGTACTTCAGAAGTAGAAATGACACACAAAGAGAATCCTCAAGCAGAGTCTGGGACACAAGTGATCAAAAGTTAAGAGAAAGTGATGAGATGCTACGAAAAAGGTTGCAAATTATGATAAGGGACTGGACTGAGCCCACAAGTATTCTGTGGCCTGTATATTAAATTTTTTTAAGATTTCATTTATTTATTCATGAGAAAGAGAGAGAAGCAGAGACACAGGCAGAGGAACAAGCAGGCTCCCTGTGGGGAGCCTGATGCAGGACTCGATCCCAGGACCCCTGATCACGACCTGAGCCAAAGGCAGATGTTCAACCACTGAGGTACCCAGTATATTAATTTTGTTTTAAATGACACCCTAGCTATGGTCTTTAAAATACTATTCCCCAGAAAATGGACCAGAACTCCTTGAAGGAATAGTTGCTTCCAGGTCAAGGGCTGGACATACAAAAGATGAGCACAGGATACCTTGTTCCACAAAACAGGAAGCTATCAAATCCTAATGGGATTGTGCCAAAAGGGTACAGGAGTCAAAGGGACATGTGAGTATAAAGAAACAACACAACTGATACAATGACTCTAAAAATGGAAATAACAAAAAAATGCTTTCAGTGTAATACTTAAAATAAAAACCTAGGGCACCTGGGTGGCTTAGTCAGTTAAGTGACCCACTCTTGAGATCAAGCCCTGTGTTAACCTCTGCCCTCAGTGGGTAATCTGTTTCTCTCCCTCTCCCTATCCCCTAGCTCATTCTCTAAATATAAATAAATCTTTTAAGAAAGATTTTATTTATTTATTTATTTATTTGAGAGAGAGTGCACGCTTGCATGCACACACACAGAGGGGAAAGGGAGAAGGCGGCTCCTCACTAAGTAAGAAGCCCAATGCAGGACTCGATTCCAGGATGCTGGGATCATGACCTGAGCCTGAGGCAGACACTTCACCAACTGAGCCACTCAGGTGTCACTAAATAAATCTTTTAAAAAAAAGAACAAAACCTTCTTTGGACTACACTGGAAATGACAAGGGCAACAATCTCTTACTCTGAAAATTGTCAAAAGAAAGACTGAATTTGGGCAGCCCGGGTGGCTCAGCGGTTTGGTGCCACCTTCAGCCCCATCGGGTCCCACGTCGGGCTCCCTGCATGGAACCTGCTTCTCCCTCTCCATCTCTCAAGAATAAATAAATAAAATCTTAAAAAAAAAAAAAAAGACTGAATTTTATGTTCATTCTATAAATTTTAGGGTAATCCAGTGGTCTTAAAAACTGATGAGGGCAGCCTGGGTGGCTCAGCGGTTTGGTGCCACCTTCAGCCCAGGGCCTGATCCTGGAGACCCAGGATGGAGTCCCATGTCGGGCTCCCTGCATGGAGCCTGCTTCTCCCTCTGCCTGTGTCTCTGCCTCTCTCTGTGTCCCTCATGAATAAATAAATTTAAAAAGAAAAATTTGATGGGGTCCTGGGTGGCTCAATTGGTTAAGTGGCTGCCTTCCGCTCAGGTCATGATCCCAGTTGAGCCCCATATCAAGCTTCCTGCTCAGTAGTCTGCTTCTCCCTCTCCCACTGCCCCTCTCCCCATGTTCGTGAGCATGCGCTCTCTCACACTCTCTTCCCTCATATTAGTAAATGAGATCTTTAAAAAACTTTTTTTTTAATTTGATGAATTCTTTAAGAATTCTAGCTAACAAAAAAAAAAAAAAAAGAATTCTAGCTAACGAGTACCTGAGTGGCTCAGTTAGTTAAGCATCTGCCTTCAGCTCAGGTCATGGTCTCTAGGTCCTAGGATCAAGCCCCACCTCAGGCACTCTGCTCAGCCTGAATATGAATTGAGTATACTAGTGGCATTATTGTTAGTTTTGCAAAATGTGATTATAGACACTTAACGCTGTGATTACACTCATATGTTTAAAGAGATTCATGCCGAAGTATGCAAGATTGAAATAGTATAATATTCGGGATTTACTTTAAAACAATTTAGCATAGGGACACCTGGGTGGCTCAGTGGGTTGGGTGTCTGCCTTTGGCTTGAGGCATGATCCCAGAGTCTTGGGATCGAGTCCCATATCGGGCTTCCTACATGGAGCCTGCTTCTCCCTCAGCCTATGTCTCTGCCTCTTTCTGTCTCATGAATGAATGGAATCTTTAAAAAATAGTAATAATAAAACAATTTAGCATAACATGTGAAGGGGGAGCCAGTTTCAATGAAAAAAGTATGGCAACATCTTGATAATTTCTGAATCTGGGTACTGCATTTACAGTGGACTGACTGTACACTTCTCTACTAAACTGCCAACAAACCAGGGGCACCTGGCTGGCTCGGTCAGTAGAGGATGTGACTCTTGATCTTAGAGTTCTAAGTTCAAGCCCCACGTGGGCAACAAAACCTACTTAAGAAAACACTGTGAACAAACCAATGCCAAAGCCAATTTGAATTAGTGATATTTAAAAATCAGTAGCTTTCACATCAAAATCTAGATTTCTAACTTCATATGAAAAATTAAATGTGGCAACAAGGCCTACATCAAGAGATGAGTACTGGCTACTCCAAATTAATAGTTTCTACTACTCCCAGTTATCCCCCATTAACCATCACTGCTGCTGTTTTTAATCCTATCTGGCCCAATTCATTCATTTATGTTGCCTCCTGGGCATTGGGATTAGGACCCCGAGTCGTTCAACTAAGCTGGCTAGAAGCATGAGAACAGAGTAGACCTGGGGAGCGCAACTGAGGGATAGCAAAATGCTAGTAAGTAGATGTACAGACTCCTGCTATTGAGGTCTCTCCAACAGCCTTGGAGACAGATGTAATTCTCACGAGGCCCTAAAGCTACACTATGTTTCCTGTGTAAGTACTTAGTAGAAGCAAGGCCATATGCCTGATATTCTGGAAAATATGAACATGAAAATTACTCTTGCCCTCGGGATACTAATAGTCTGATAAGATATAAGGACAAACAGCTACAATATAAGATGAAAATACGTGCGTTTAAGGTACTGTTCAGGGTAGCTCATATAAAATGCAAAGTGGGGAGTGACAAAGTATATAAAGCTTCAGAAGCAGATCATAAAGAGTCCTACAGAGCATGTTGGGAAATTTAAACTTTATCAGATGAGCAACACTGAGCCACTGAAGGGCTTCAAAATATAAATACAAATCAGAGGGGGCAACACTGGAGGTAAGAGCAGTCTCCCTCCTTGCTGAAATTCTCTTATTCTATGCACTACATCCCTTGAGGTGCTAGCAGCATGACCCCCAAAACGTTGCATCTAAGCCTCTATAATTACACAATCATAGCTTTCTTGGTCAGCCAGAAGCTTGGTACCTGAAGGAAATAAAAAAAGAAAAGGGTCGGGATCCCTGGGTGGCGCAGTGGTTTGGCACCTGCCTTTGGCCCGGGGCGCGATCCTGGAGACCCGGGATCGAATCCCACGTCAGGCTCCCGGTGCATGGAGCCTGCTTCTCCCTCTGACTGTGTCTCTGCCTCTCTCTCTCTCTCTCTGTGACAGTCATAAATAAAAAAAAAAAAAAAATTAAAAAAAAAATAAAAGAAAGGGTCACTGAACAACACCCCTAAAAACAGTTTATATCTCCCAAATAAAGTCTAAATAAATTGCATCTGTTACTACTTCTGGGTTTCAATATCTTAAACATAAATTATAGTCTTATCTACCTGAAGCTCTATTAAAAAGTAAAAATATTTTTTCCTATTTCGTCTAAGACCCATTTTTGTTAAAAAAAAAAAAACAAAAACAAAAAACAAAAGCAAGAGCTAACTGCGAATAAATAAAGCACAATCAAATCTTGACTGAGATCGTGTTACAGCATGTTTCAAAGATCTGGCTGGTCATCCTAAGGGGAAAATAGGGCCAAATTGGCATTATAGTAGCAGCTGTCACCACGCAAGAGGGTCGCTGAAATTTACATAAAAACAGGCCAGCTTCAGACTCTGGGGTACCATAAAAGAAAGTTATTACAAGGTGAGATCACCATTTTGCGATCGATTTTTATCATTCGCAGGAACGACAATAAGCAGGGAGAGTATAAAATTGCAGTGCTTTTCTTTCACCTTAATTAACTCCCGCACTAAGAATTCCAGCTCTGACATCAATTTATTCTACACCCCTCTGAGCCTCCGTGTGCTCACGTGCAACACGGAGCCAACAGTACCTACTTCACAGAGTAGGAACCAAACGGTATAAAGTGGCACATGACCTGACGCACAGCCAAGGCTCGACACAACAGGTTTTATTATTCACAATGAGCTTCAGCCGCACCACGATTTTCCTACAGTCACCAGTTTGTCTCAAGATGCCAATCCCCACCTACACTCAACACCCAAGGACTTCTTGGCGGAAACAAGCCACAGTTCAAGATACCGAAGGCCGAACCCCGTAGAGGGCGCCGAACCCCGTAGAGGGCACCGACCCCGCGGCCGCGCGGTCCTTCCGAGGGTTCCCCGGCCCGGCCCCGCCCCGCCCACGCCAACCGGCGGGGGCGAGGGGGCGGTCTCCACAGCGCGCCCTCAGCGCTGCCAGGAGGCCAGGCCGCCCTCCAGGCCTCCGCCCGCCCGCTCCCCTCCCCAACCTCAGCCTCCCCTCGTCGGCGCCTACGGGCTTCCCGGCCCGCGCCGCCCGCTGCCGCACCTTGAGGTGGGTGCGCAGGCCGCCAGCGCCCCCAGACTGGTCGGTGATCTCGTACGCGCCCGTCACCAGCAGGTCCTTGTGGATCTCCTCTCGGAGGCACTTGCGGGAGTTAACGGGCAGATGGAAGGAGATGGCAAGCACCGAGGCGGGGCCGAACAGCAATAAAAGCAGCAGCGCTGACGGGCAAGGGCCACGCTGAGCTTGTGGGCCAGACAAACCAGACATGGTGCCGGAGACTGTTCACCTCCTCGGGCCTCGACCGCGCCGGAACCGGGAGGGCCCACGTGACTCACCTCTGACCTAATGCCGTGGGCGCCATTTTGGAGACTGGCAAATGGTGGTGGGGAAGGATAGATGGTAACTCTTTTGAAAGGGAAGAAAGGATACGATACCACGTAGTAGCCACAAGTTAAAGTGCTTAAATAAGACTTTCTAGCAGTTAACCGCAGACGCTTTATTTTTGTCAAGCTTAGTGATTGCTCACCCGGCCGTAGCAAGTATGGGCAGCCCCGGAAGTAATTCTCCTTTAACGTCCGGAAGTAGTACCGGAGAGTTTTTAAGGTCGGTGATACCATAGCAACGAAGCCCCAATAGGAAACAGCCACAAGGCCCTTCTTTGGGCCCACCCACCAGCGGCTCAGGCGCTCCAGGCGAGGCAGAGGTGCAGTCCCAGCGCCTTGCAGCTTCAGTGACATCTGGGACATTGAGCACTTAAGGAAACTTTGAGAGATTGAGGGGAGAGATTCCAATTTGGCTATTAGGAGAGCAGTGCCAGTATCTCAGATTAGGTGTAGGGTCACCTGGTGAATGTGGGCTAGGCGGCGTCCAGTTAGTTCATGCACCTGAGCAGTTTTGGGCTGGAGGGATGGCTCTCTGAATGTGCATCTTGTTTGGTAAACCTTAGGTGCCTACTATGTTAGGTAATATTCAAACTAAATTTGGGTTCTGTATTTTTTTTAAGATTTTATTTTTAAATAATTTCTACGTCCAGAGTGGCGCTGGAACCCACAACTCTGAGGTCAGGGGTTACATGCTCCACCCACTGAGCCAGGCAGGTGCCCCTGTATTTTGCATTCAAATTGAATAAAACACAAAGATTTAGTTCCGTCTGAGAGATGGAGCTAATGCAGTTGACCAAATAAGCGCTGTCAATTATTTGTGTGTTTTAAATGCATAAACACCTTAGGGATCAAATAGGCTAGTCTGTAGTAAGTAAATTTACACCATAATCATTCATGTGTTCCTTTAACAAATATTCATTGAGTACCTACTATGTGCTGGACATTATACTATCCATGAATACCAACATGTATTGATTTAACAAATCACTATCGCTATCAAATATTCAGGGCTGAAGAAAATGTGAAAATGAAAAAGGAATAGCCTATGTTTAGAATCATCTACTTTGGGGATCCCTGGGTGGCGCAGCGGTTTGGCGCCTGCCTCTGGCCCAGGGCACGATCCTGGAGACCCGGGATCGAATCCCACATCGGGCTTCCGGTGCATGGAGCCTGCTTCTCCCTCTGCCTGTGTCTCTGCCTCTCTCTCTCTCTGTGACTATCATAAATAAATAAAAAATCAAAAAAAATTTTAGAATCATCTACTTTGATTAGTGTTCATTGAGCATTTACAGAAATAGCAAGAAGATGGACTATCTGCTTTTAGCAATTTAAATGATTGTTCAGTATTTAATCACTCCTTTCAGTCCACCTGAAACTGGAACTGAAGTCCCACAAGCAAAACAAAAACAAACATAAAGGAGCTGTAAAGCATTTTAAAATTTGGCAAATGTCATATAATAATTATTTTATGAGGTGTCCATTTAGAAACATTTAGTTTGATTATTTTATCCCTGATCTAAGATAAGATTGCTAATCTACTACTCAGTATATCCTGATAATTTGCATTGGCCTTTTCCCTGCCTGTGCTGACCATTAACCAAAGATTTGCAGCCCATAAAATCCTGGGTGTGTGTGTGTGTGTGTGTGTGTGTGTGTGTGTGTGTGTGTGTGTGTTTTAATTCTATCTTACATTTATATAATAACTTACATGTTTTTAAATATCTTCACATAATTACCTCACTTGACATTTTCAAACACCATAGGCTGGGCAAGTCTGTTCATTTTATAGATCAGGGAAACTGAAGTTCTGAGAGGCCAAAGAGCTTTTATACCCCAAATCCCATTGTATAAATGTGACACAGTCTGGGCGCCTGGGTGGCTCAGTTGATTAAGCATCTGACTTCAGCTCAGGTCTTGATGGGATGGAGCCCAGAGTTTGGCTCCATGCTCAGCAGGGGGTCTGCTTGTCCCTCTCCTGCTGTGCCTCCCCCTGCTTGTGCTGGCTCTGGCTCTGTCTCAAATAAATAAATAATCTTTAAAAAAAAAATGACAAAGTGAGTCTTGAGAGCCTGTGCCTTCTTCAGGAAGGTGCTATTATTTATTATTTTACAGATAAAGAAACTGAGACTTCGAGAAATTGATTTACTGTCCTAAGTCTCATCCCACATGTGCTTTCTTGTCCTATATTCTCATTTATCCTGCCTCCACCTATTTCCTGTTCCCATTCTCTCCTTCATATTTTTCCCATATTTTTAGCACTCACCACTGTTGTTTCTTCTTCTTCTTCTTCTTCTTCTTCTTCTTCTTCTTCTTCTCTTCTTTTTAGAGACACAGAGAGAGAGAAACAGGCAGAGGGAGAAGCAGGCTCCATGCAGGGAGCCCGACATGGGACTCGATCCTGGGTCTCCAGGATCAGGCCCTGGGCTGAAGGCGGCGCTAAACCGCTAAGCCACTGAGGCTGCCCTCACCACTATTTCATACAGGATACGTTTTACTTATTTATTAACCTGTGTCCCTAGTTAGGATATCTTTTTTGTGACAGGCAGAGATTTTTGTCTATTTTGTTCACTGCTTTATCTTCTGAATCTAAAATAGGGCCTGGCCTATAATAAATAATGGCTCAGTAAATGCAAGATTGATTCCTTAGCTCCTAGCCTAAGGACTAATGGCAAATTCTTTCCATGATTCCTTAGCTGTTTTCACACTAATTTATTTAATCCATACTGTATCTAGAGTGTAGGTGTGATTTCAGTTTTACCAAGAAAATGGGTATCTTTTTATTAATTAAAAAATGTGTTATTGTCTCTATATAAAAACATAGAGGGGCACCTGAGTGGCTCAGTGGTTGAGCATCTGCCTTTGGCTCAGGTCATGATTGTGGGGTCCTGGGATCAAATCCCGCATTAGGCTCCCTGCAGGAAGCCTGCTTCTCCCTCTGCCTGTGTTTCTGCCTCTCTCTCTGTGTGTCTCTCATGAATAAATAAATAAAATCTTAAAAAAAAAAGCATAGAAAAAAGAATCCAAAACTGTTCTCCCCTCTGTACTGTGGACTTAGAGGGTGGAGGAGATACTCCTGGGGAGCCCAGACTTCAACTTCTGCATCTATGTTAAAGAAGTGTTATTTTACATCTGTTGTGGGGAGTAGAGATCAAATGGAAAGTGTCCCACAACCAGAAAAAAATGTTTCTTCTTAGCCTCACGGTCTCTGCCATCCCATCAGCCTGAAACTTCCCCAGCCAGACTCAGGTTCCCAAGATTCCTGAGGCTCCCCAGGCCTCTGGAGGTGAACAGATGTCACTAGGAAACACTTTTTACCTAGATTTTCCCTTAGCCACAGGTTTCTCAACCCTTCACCAATATGAGAGGGAGCAGTTTAAAACACACCTCACCCCAGACACTGAATCAGAAGCTCTTGTTAATCTGCATTTGGGGGCGCCTGGTAGCTCAGTTGGTTAAGTGTCTGCCTTCAGCTCAGGTCATGAGGATTGAGGGCCTGGGATTGAGCCTTGAGCCCTCCAAGCCCTCCACAGTCTCTGCAGTCTCACAGTCTCTGGCTCCCTGCTCAGTGGGGAGCCTGCTTCTCCCTCTCCCTCTTCCTGCTGCTCCCCCTGCTTGTGCTCTCTGTCTCTCTGTCAAATAAATAATTTTTTTTAAATCTGCATTTATAATAAACTTGCTGGGCCATTCTGTGGCCAGTGCTTCCGTCTTCTGCCTTCTCCAGGCCTCCTTAACTGGCCTAATCCCCCAGTGTGGCTTAGGGCTCCTCGCTCCAATGCAGAAGCAGTCAAGAATTCCTAACTCAATGTCTCTGCCCATTCGTGTGTACAGTCCCACTCACAGTGTGTTTTTTTTTTTTTTCACAGTGTGTATTTAAACAGCTAAAACAAGATGGGTTCTGTGAAGATACAAAAGACTCTTTTGGAGAGCAATTTGGCAATATTTGTCATGTGTCATACTCTTTGACCCAGAGAGTGATTCCAAGGATTACTATGGGTCCTCTAATTTCTACTGTCCCCCTGGACCTGTTCCTAGAACCTTTGTGCTGCACTTGGGGGTGATCTCATCCAGTCCCATGACTTTAAATGTATCCATAGGCCGATAATTCCCAAATGTGGATTGCCAGCCCTGACCTCTCCTCTCAACTCCAGAATCTATATCAGGCTCCCTACTTGACATCTCCAAATTGGATGACTAATAGGCAACTCACTTAACTCTTAATTTCCCCTCTCCCCCCACTCCCAAATCTGCTTCTTCCCCATCTCAGTAAATGGCACCACCTTCTACTTCTTCACTGAGGCCATCCTTGTTTCCTCTTTCTCTTACCCCCTCCCCACACTGAGCATCAGCATGTCCTACCCATTCTGTGTCCTAAATATATGACAATCAGTTTCTACTTCTCTCTAAGCCAAGGTTTGGCAAACTACTGCCCAGCTAGACAGGTCAATCCAACATGCAAATTCCTGTTCTTGTACCACCCAAGAAAGCATGAGGCTCACAAAACCTAAAATGTTTATTATGTGATCCCTTACAGAGTTTGCTTCTCTCACCTAGGCAAGAAAACAGCCTCTCTACTGTTGTCTCTACTTCTATTCTTGCCCCCACTGTGCTCCTTAATACATTTTTAGTGATTTTTCAAAAAAAAAATGTAGATCAGATCAATCAGAATAAAGCCCATATACCTTATCACAGCCCAAAAGGCCACTGTGGTCTGGCTCCTGCCTACCTTTCTAATCTCATTTTATCCAGTGATCACTCCCTCCCACCACCCAACCACTCTCATATCTATAGTCACATGGCAGCAAGGACTTTGTACCTACTGTCTACCTAGAGTGCTTTCTCCCAGATATTGTCCCAGGGACTCTGGACTCTGCAGGCTGCTCTTCATCATTCAGGTCCCAACTCCAATGTCTTCTCATAGAGAGCCCACCCTGCATAAGTAA